CAGGATATCTAAAATATCTACAATAGCAACCATTAAAAAAGTACTCTTCCCATCCCAGAGAGGCCTGAGCAGTACAAGTTACTATGCTGAAACCCTGGGCCCAGAGCTCTCTGAAAGAACTTGCCCCATCCCAAAATGTTGAAATATGGGGTTGGTTCTAGCAAGATCCTGGTAGCAGAGGCAGGGTACCAACAAAGGCCTGAAGGCTTGGTCTCTCTCTGGTGCTGCTAGGAAGTGTACACTTCAATGGTGCAATCTGTGTGAAGACAAAATTACCTTTAATTGGAGGCCTGGGATAAAAATAACGCAATCTCTAAACAAAGTAGTTCTAGCATCCTGGAGGCACACTACTGAAGCACATAGCAGCAAGTACCTATTTACCCAGGTTGGGGCTGCCCCTCCCTTGCCCTACTTGGAGGTGGTCTCACACTGAGCAGCAGTTGCTCCTGGGTTTCCCTCCAAGATAATTCTGGCAGTACTGGTGTCCTTGAGGATCATCAGTGGCTCTAGCCCTGAGGTTCAGTTTAGAAAAACAGTTTCTCACTTTCTCCCCAGTCCAGTGGATGTATTCAACACATTAGTGTTTAAAAAAAAAAAGTTGGTCTGTTTTATCTTATCACAAAATGACTCCTGCAGGGTGTCTGGGGACTGTTATTTACCTGCTGTCCAGGACACCCTTTGTGTTGTCTATAAGGCCCCCTGCCCCCAGACCCTGCCTAATCAAAGAAATAACAGAGACACCCTGATAGAGCCAGCATGGAGATGTACTTCACTAGGATTTAGTATGAAGCATGGGGAAGCAAATTTTCTGTCAAGGATATCCATTATGCATGGTATTGCCCACTGTTGATTATGGTGTTGTGTTTTAATGTATATTGTGTAGTAAATGTTCCCTGGCTGATAGAGGATGCAGCTCCAACAGTTTAAGTCCTGCTGATACCTCTGGTTATTGGTGACAAGTTCTGCTTCCTCACATAATGGAGTTTGAACATTGGAGAAACACACCAAGGCAAGCATATAAAGCAGGGTTTATTTAGAAAGGGATACATAGACTTCTCACTGGAGGGAGAACAGGGCCATAACTGGTTATCTTGGTATCCTGTGAAGCCAGGTGTTCTGCCCTTTTTATATGTCCTAGGCATCCTTTGTTCTCCAGCCCTCTTCCCCTTATCTTTCTCCTTCCTTGCATATGTGATTAGGCCCAGGAATGCCCAGTGGGATGACCAAATGGTGGGGAACAGGTGGGCTGAAGTGGGGAAGGGCAGGATGGTGCAGCCCAGGACACATTAATTAACAACTTAACTATAGCTCCCTGTAGGGAAGGGCAATTCCTGGGACAGGTTACCTTAGCAACAGGTTGGAGCAGGGGGAGGTTCTTGATGAGGATGGAGGAAGAGCTCTGAAGGAATTAACATTTCAATCCCTCAGGGGACAGTCTCCTACGTCTCGGACTCACTTAAAATTGGCCTGACTGTATCTGACCTGATTCGATTTACCTATCCTTACTGACTGCTTGTCTAATTCTGGCATCACTGCCCTACTACAAATGAAGGACTATTTTTAAACCCCTGTGTGTATGATTTTCTTATTAAAGATACACACATGAGCACATGAACACAAAGCCTCCTATGAAAGGTTTATTAAGTAGCTGCTAACAAGGGCCTCTCTCTAGGAAGCCACGTGATAAAAACCTAGCATAACCTTTCCAAATGAACTACTGCAAAGGAGAGGAATGTACAAATAAATTGAACTGTAGCATATGTTACAAAGGGTTGTGTCTGCTATTATTTTCTTGTGTGGGTAAAGGAGGGGAATCTTTTTATTGAAATAAAATTAAAGAAGTACTTTGAAGACAAAGAGCATGGGATGAGAGCTGGGATAAAATGAGATCATACATAGTAGGATACATTTCAAAAGATGGGGCTCAAATAGAGAGAAAAATGAAATGAAACAACAAAGATGAGGCCAGACTCCCAACAAATTCTGTACAGGAATGTTTTAATAGAACAATTTTGGGGTAAGAGACTTCCCTCAGTAAAAGGATCCCTCTCTCTATCCTATGAGGGTTGATTACACGTGACCAGTCAAGGATATAATGGTACAGTGAAGGAACAGAAGCCCCAATCATATGACTTTTAAAGAATATGGTCACACCAAGAAAATAAACACACTGAGGTGAAACTCCCTCTTCTCTCTCATTAAGGCTCTTTGGGAATATTGTGATTATTTTGCCTGACATGAATCAAAGTGGTGAAAAAGGGAAAGGGCAATAAATATTTATTGAGAATCAGTATGTTTCAGGTGTTAACCTCATGTAATCCTTCCATGACATGAATAATGTTATTCTTATTTTATAGACAAGGAATATAAGGCTTGGTGAAGTTAAGTTAACCTTTCCCAATGTTACAAAACCCAAATTCCTCTGTTCTGTTCAGAGACAAGTCTCATAGGAAACCATTTCTTTGTCACTTGATTTGCACTTTATGTTTRTATTGAATGGTATTGCAAATGTTTTTGCTTAAGTTCAGCACAAACATATTTAGTTCCTTGAACTCTTTTAACCCATTAATTCTCAAGTTTTCAATTCTGTCTGGAATCGTGGGACATGATAAGTTAAGAAACGGATCTCTCCATACAGGAGGGAAATCAGTAGAATAGAGGTAGGAGATAGGGGGAGAGAGAAGAGGAGGGAAAAGGGAGGTATTAAGGAAAAAAATTGACACATTATACTCTATTGCGTGCATATATGAATGTGTATGTGGCAACAAATCCCACAATTACAGATGATTATAATGCACCAATAAAAAATAAAATCCCATTGAAATGTTAAAAAAATAAATCATTACCAGAGGGAGAGAGAGAGAGAGAGAAAAAAATGTTTCTCTCCCTAGTAGCCACACATTAGAAATAAGTATACTTGGATGATGCTGAGGCAGAGGCACAGACTGCACACCCCATGCTTGCTGAATGTATCCAGAGCTTTGCTTCTGGCCTCATTGAGTTCTGATTCCCTTCTGATCAGGGTCAGCACTCTCCAGGGAACAATGAAATCCTGAAGAACAGACCATTTCACAGGGACACTCATTACCCAGCCCCCCTGCATCCCTAGACACACTACTGTTCCAGGAATGTATCTCCACCATCAGTAATAACATTCAAACTCCATCTGTGGAGGAAAATCAATGTTTTACAATGAAGCACCTGCCATCTCTCTCCTAGGAACCTTTGCCCCTTATAGAATATTCATGAAGGCTTTCTTTGTAATCTCTAAGTTTCCAAAGATTTCCTAAAAGACAAGACCTTTTAACAGAAAGAACTATTTCAAAATGCAGACACAGGAAATTTAGCAGAAGAGACACTGGTTTCTGAAAACTATAATCAATCCACAGTCAGACACCATGTCACATTTCCTAAATAACCAAAATGTTTCTTTTATTAGGTAAATATGATCAGGTGAGATCATAAAGGGAGAAGAGAGCAGAAAAAAAAAAAAATCCCTGGACCCAAGTGGAATTTTCCTCTTTTTGATTTGTCCATTTGTTTTTGATAAAAGGAAAGAGACCACCATTATAAAATGACTCTTACACCATATGCCAAACATTTACTTATGATTTTGGCATATGGTGACCTGAACTGGAAAGAAGGTTTAAGAAAGAAAAGGCAAATAGAATCATAATAGTTTAAAGTTATTTAAATTTTTTTATTCTGTCATTATGAAATTTTTTGGAAGGTAATTAATTTGCATTTGCAATGGTTTGAGAAGTTTTAAATATGTATGAAGAAGATCATAGTAATGGAAATTGAGGCATATCTTAGCAACAACCTCAATCTATTTCGTGTTTCTTGGCATTTATGTATATAAATTTGCTATATATGTGTGTGTGTGTGTGTGTGTGTGTGTGTGTGTGTGTGTGTATTTCCAAGACAACGTAGGACGAAGTCCTTATGTTAAGTATTGAGAAATACTCATTGTTGGAAACTGGCATGTTTTACTAATAAGTATATTCAGAAATCTGTTGTTATGCTGTTTCTGGGAGTGTTAGGAATATTCTTTATGTATTTGATACAATGAAAGTTTTTTCAAGGATTTTTCACACTTTTAAGTGACAATTTTTTTGGGGGGGAGGGGTTACTGGGAATTGAAGTCAGAGGCACTTGGCCACTGACCCACTGTATTTTATTTAGACAGGGTCTCACTGAATTGCTTAACACCTCGCTTTTGCTGAGGCTGGCTTTGAACTCATGATTTTCCTGCCACAGCCTCCCGAGCTGCTGGGATTTCGGGCGGGCACACGGTGCCCAGCTTTAAATGAGATTTTAAATCCTAATTCCTCCTTAGGTCTAATTTCTAGTTTATTTTTATCCTTGTCTTCAGCTTCTTGTCTTCATAAGATTCTGCTCCATTTTTCTCCCCTAACCTTATTTGTTGTCTCCAGATATTCGGAATTCAAAGCAAAGAATTAACCCGATATTCTACATATAAACTATTTGGGCATGCCATTATAATTTTGATCTACTACAGAAATGAATTGTTTTAGCAGAATATTGCTTTTATGTACATCATAGTGTATGTCTTACTAATATTTTAGGCAGATTTTTGTTTTCATCACATTTGGAATCAGGGCCCCTAAAGATGTGAAGACAATAATGCTTCCAAGATAACTAAGCTGCATCCTTATTTGTAAAATAAGAAAAAAGATGAATCCCCCACATTTTAATGGAGTGTTTCTTCTCAGACCTGTAGTGACAGACTTATTCTAGTTATAGAAATGTACACAGCCCCACTTTTGAGCGTTTCTTTACCCTCCTCCCACCAAGTTCATTTCAAGAGATATCAAGGGCCAGGTTTAGAGCATCGCTGCCTCCATAGCAACCAGACTTCAGCTTCCTCAGTCACCATGGTGCTGCCTCGTCGTGGCCAGTGGTCGCTATGGTAACTGGGGGCGGGTTGCAGGCTCCAGACCCACTGGACGCATGCGCGCGGGGTCCGCGAGCTGCGCCGCGCGCCCGCGGGGCCCCTCAGCTCCCCTAGACATGGCGCTGAGGCTGCTCCCGCGACTTCGGCTCGGTGCCCGGCTGCCCGACTTCTTTCTGCTGCTGCTTTTCAGGGGTGAGTTGGCGTGTTTCTGCCGTTGGGAGGGTAGGGTCTCCCTCCGGGCGATGGAAGCAGAGCGGGCCGAAGCGGATGGTTCTGGTACTGAAGGAATAGCGGTCCCAGCTCTGGCGACTCTGGGAGTCCCGGGCCGAAGTAGCAGCGCGGATCCCTGGTAGCGGGTGGGGTTTCGAGCCGGGGTCTGTGGGGAGCCCGCGCAGCAGGGCCCGGGCAGTGGGCTTATTTCGGGCAGGCGGAGTAACTCCGAACCGTGGGCGCATCCCGGCGAGGGTCTGATCCCTGTTGAAGGGCCTCAGCTCTGGTGGAGAGCTCTCCGGGACCGTGGGCTTTAGTCCCGCAGAGTGGGCACCGCCTTCTGCGTGGACCACAGCAACTGTGGTGTGGACTCGGAAAGTCACCGGGAAGCTGCGGAGTAGTGCGGTGTCCCTAAGTGGACAGCGAGTGGCGTTGCAAAGTACCAGTGAGGCAGTACTCCGAGGCCTGTCCGGTTTCTTGGTTCCAGCTAGAGCTCTGCTGATCTGCTTTTTCGCCGGTCAACAAAGGAATCGAATTGGACAAACCCAGCTTTCCTTTTCCAGAGATAAAACTGCACGGTTATCAGTCCAGCACCTCTTTGTATTAAGCCTGGTGGGGGAGACCCTTACCCCAAATAGCATCTGGGCCATTTTGACCAGGGCACGCTGATAAACCTGAGAAATTTGTTCATATTCTTTGCTACTTTTTGGAATTCTCATGAGATCCGTATTTCCCTGATTAGTTGAACAGAAGTGCTCTAATAGCTTCCAGTTAGTATGTATTAATACACCCACACACTCTCACGGCATTTCAAAGTCATTATTTCGTTTAGACCTTTAGAACACCTGTGTGAGGTGGATTTTATTAAACTACTTTCAGATTTTAATGGAGTCTATTTCTAAGGCTGCCTTCAGAGTAAGTAGTGTAAAACTCACATTTACTCAAAAGCGCTTCACCAACTCTTCTTGACAAGTAAGCTTTCCAAAGTAACCAAAACTGTCATCCCTTGATGTCTTCCAGAAAATACCAATTAAACCACGAAGGGGCTCTTGGGAATGGGGGTGGGGTGTGTGTGAACAGATTTAGGAAAACAAAGATTTTTTTGTTTGATGCTTATTCTAGTAGGATGCTCAGRTTGGTGGTAGTAAAAACTGGGGGTCTGGCACAAAAATAAGAAGGATCAGTCTCAGCAAAGTTACTTCCAGAACCAAATGCAATTGGAGATAAAAGTGACCAAAGGCTAGCCAGGGGACAAGGGTGTCAGGAATGTCCAGCTCCCACTGTGTTGGTTACACTGACACTGTCCTATTCACAGACTGTAACAACTCTCTATTGTTGAAAAGATTTGTTCACATGAGTTTGCATTTTTTATTGCAGAAACATTTGGTAGTTTCCTGCAGGAATGAGTTTCAATTTTATGGTTTATTATTAATAATAATAAGGTGCTAAGTACTTCATATAACTCTAATCTTTGATTTTGCCCTCTCTGAGGGGCTAATTTTGTGATTTTCTTGCTATAGAGTGTTGGAATTTACCTGAAGATCATAGCAGGAAGAATCAGATTTTCAAGACCAGGACTAATGACATTGAATCAAGGTGGTAGGATGTATTAATCCACTTTGAAGCCACTTTGAAGGGATGTAACTTTTTTTTTTCTGATTGGTTTTTCCATTCTTAGGTTTATACTAACCTAAGTGTACTCTATTAAACTTTCACAAGATCTTGACAATGATGTCTTTTTAATTTTTTAAAGATTTTTTTAACTGCTATTACTATTCAGTGTTTTCTTTTTAAAAATGTCCCTGATTTTATAGCAAACATTAATAGTTAAACTTTATTGGCTTTTGTTAATTTAATATGAATTAGTGGAATTTTTATTCGGATCAGTTTAACCAACTAATCAAGTGTTCAAGACTATCATTTGTAAATAAAATATTCCTGTGTTCAATTGATGACAGTTGCAATTCAACAAATCATTGTTAGACTTGTGTGTTTCAAGAAAAACAAAAGAACACCTGTCCTGGGAATGAGCAGTTTTAAATCAGCTGCTCATTCCCAAATGACTTGTGGATGGACATTTGTTCTTGAGTACTGCAGACTAGAGAGAATGAATGGGTAGCTGCTAGAAATACTTAATTACAAATAATTACACTTTTATATCTAGAAAGATTTATCAGCCACCCAACCCTAAACTGTGTGAAACTTGCTCCTAAGTCAGCACCATAGCATAGATTTAAATCAGTTCTTTTGAAAAAAAAAAAGTAGACTTTTATCAAGCTTACTTTCTGAGGTGGCAGAATGTAACAGAAGGAGCTATGGATTTAGTGCATTCAACTAGCAGCTGTTAGGGATATGATATTAGTAAATTCCTTCTTCATAAATTCTTTGAATTTTTTTGAAGCACTAGTGGGATAAAACATGTGTGAATGAAGTTAGGATGTATAGTGTCTGCTGAAGGATATCCTAGTTGTGAAGTTCTCTATTAAGATGGTTTTAGAATCAGGTGATACTGTATGAAAGTGATGCTGTTAGAGTTCAATGCAAATTTTAAGTTTTTGTACTCTCTAAATTCTAGTATATATGCATATATCTTTTTCTGGAGTATAAACAGATCTTGAAAAGAAAGTTTGAGCAAGCATATTCTTTTACACTCAGTTTAGCAAGGACTGTATCCACTACCGTACTGTAGTGTAGGAGAGCCTTAATTTACTGCCTCTTTGCATTTGCCATGGCACACTAACTTTCTGAAAGTTAGTCCTTGTTTCTGATGTTCCAGGAATGCTGTGTTTATGTTTTTTTTTTTTTTTTTTTTTTGTGTGTGTGTGTTTGTGTGTTGGTAACTGGTTATGTTTTCTTTGTTTTTAAATAGTATCTATAATGTGTTATATATTGCATTTCCCATGCATAGTTAGTATGTATAGTGATTGCACTGCTACTTGTGTAGAAAAATTAAACTTTTTAATACAATTAGGACCATATAAACATTTTTTTACTATGTCTTCTTTCATTTACAAAGTATCTCAAGACTCTTGTGGTTCCCACAAATTATTGCTAAGATCAGATTGTACTATATTCTTGATGTCTGCTATGTTTGACAACCTCAGCTTCCTAGCTCTAACTAAGCATATATCTTAGTCTGTTTTTCAGTACAGAAGACTTTTTTTTTTTCTTAGTAGCTGTGATATAGTAGGCCCTGTTTTCCATGCTAAGGGTGCAAAATGAATAAAGCCCCCAGACCCTAAAGAACCAGAATGACTGCATATTGAGTTACACTGAGCTTTAGTTGTTTTGTTTGGTGTGAGTGCATTGTATCTTCTAAAGGATATTAAAACTTTCTTGGGAACAGAGGCTGAATTTCTTTTTTATCTTTCCAGAGGAGACCCTAGTAAATGTGCCACTTGAAAGTCTGTTAATAGTTTTTAAACATTTTCTATGTGTCTAGGCATTTTTAAATGTATATCATTTTCATTCCAGTGGCCTTAGGAACTTTGGGAAAGTTTCAGTTTTTACTATAATAGTTATGGAATTAATAATTATATCTTGGACTTATTTAATTTCATAATCTGTTTTCTGCCATCTTCCCTGTGCAGTTACAAGGTTAAGAAGAAAAACATGGAGAAATGCTTAGAAGTTGATACAAGCTGTAGGTACTACTAGTATATGTTTGTAATTACATAAAGTACTAGGGAAAACACCTGGAAGAAAGTGTACTAAAATGTAGGTAAGTTCTCTTTCTAAGTGGTAGGTCATTTTCTACTGTTTTGTTTTCCTGTATGATTCTTTTATCCTTTTGTCAGCTTTTCCAGTTTTCTTTAATGTGAGAGTGTTTATTTTATATTGAGAAGATTACATTGTGTTTTGAATTCTAGTAGATAAAATAGTGGAATTTTAAACTTGGCACTAGTAATGGAAACACTTAATTTGTTTAGTTTAATGTGATAGCTTATAGATTGTGCCTTTTTCTAGCTTCTTAATGTCAGCCACATTGGATGAAGGAAGGGCTGATTTGAAGTTCAGTTGTTTGATCATGTATTGTTTCTGACTCATTGAAGAGCTTGTTTGATGTTGGCTTTTGGATTACAGAGCCAGCTGTGACATCACCAACAAATGGTTAATTGGAAAACCAAAAGAGAGCTGCTGAGAGTCCCTATCTCCCCTCTTCTGTTTGAACAAACAAAATAATCTGAGTAATTACTTTGTTCTACTTCTTCAGAGTTCAGTATTTATTGAACACTTAACTGTGTGTCACACAGGCAACTCCTGGAGGAGGATCTCTGTTCTCTTCCTCTCAGGTAATAAGAATACAAGGTCAAATTAATTTCCACTGAAAGTGACTCAGAAAGGTGTTTCTTGAAATGAATCATCACCTAATGGGCCCCATCGCTCTTCCTGCCCAACATGGACTTTTTTGTTGGCTATCTTTCTCCCATGAAAATATTTAATGTCTTTAGAATGAAGTGCAGCTGTCTGGAGGTTTACAGAATGAAAATCCTGACAGCTGCTTTCCTTTACCTTTTTTTTGGCCCATGTTTTCCTCTAAAGCATCTCTATCAGAGTTATGAAATTTACATTTTAAAAAATTTTTATTGATTTATTTTTTTAGTAGTGAGAACTGAACCTAGGGGCACTTAACATTGAGCCACATCCCTAGATCTTTTTATTTTTCATTTTAAGACAGGAATCTCACTAAGTTGCCACAGCTGACCTTAAACTAGTGATCCTCTTGCCTCGGCCTGCAAGTAGCTGGAATTACAGGTGTGGGCCACCATGCTCAGCAAGAATTCTGAAACTTTTAATTAGCCAGCTCATATTTATTTGGTAGTCTCCATTTTTGAGGCAGTAAAGGCTTCAGTGCACAAAACAGAGGTTTAAAATAATGCTGCCTTCAGCTGGAAGTAATGGACAGTTTAGATAGTTAACCAAGCAAGCAGCCTTTGGATAAATATTTTATGTATTTAAAAATGAGAATACTTAACTCTGGG